ATGAGAGACTTCTCAGGTGAACAGCTTAGACATGGAGTGGAGCAGAGGTGGGACAAGTAGTGGGACAGTGCACAGTACTTGTCTTTATGGCAAGACTGGCTGTCCTTGAGATGGTAGAGTTGGTAACACCAACTGTGGGAGCTTGCCAGATGTGAATATTAGGAAACTGGATTTAACAAATTAGTCTGTGCTTATGTTTGTTTTGGTTTGGTTTTGATTTCTGTCACAAAGCTTTTAAGATGATATCTATTGGTTTTACTGGCCCGGGCCTCAAACCACATGAAACCAGGACTGAGCACAAGCTTCTGCTTTCTCTTCCATCCTGGACCTGTGACTCTTGCCAAAGCAGGCACATTTCTCTGCCTTCTCTGCTGTTGTCCAGTTCAGTTAGTACAGGCAGGATGAGTAGAAGACATGAACTGAAGGGTATGAATTGTCCAAAAATGTACTGATTTCCCCCAGATGCAGTGTCTATCTGTAACCTTCCGGCATCCTTTATTTTATGTTCTTAAAATAGCTGGAGTCTTTTTGTACTTATTTCCATGGAGACCCAGCTGTCAAAAATGCTTTAAGTTCCCAGCTACAGGATAGGATGTTGTAGAACACAGTAACTTCAAGAAACCCTGTTTCCTGCCTGCACCTGATGCATCTAACAGCAGCTTACTGGTCCTCTCAGCAGTAAAACCATCACAGGACGCTGTTAAAGCTTTTCCTAAAATGCCGTTGTGGGCTACACATTTCCTTCCTGGTAAAGGTAGGCTCTTACAGAAAATGGCTGAAGGAGGAAAAATAGAAGGCAAACCAAATGAAGGTGAGTTACTCGCTCCAAAACAGCGAGGGGATAATTTTGATGTTAGGAATTACATTGCTTAGGCCCGTAATCTACTGGGGCCAAGCACCCCTTTTTCTGTACAGCTTAAAACTAACCCTCGAGTCACTATCCTTCCATTTGTTTCTAAAATGAAAGGTTTGCTAATATTTTAGCATGTTTTTCTGTTGTCCTTGTGATAGTACAATAATAGTCCATATGACTGAAGGATTGTCCAAAAATGAATTGATTTACCCCCAGACAAAGCTCCTGATTTTTATAACATTGTGAAGACTCAGATATTTGTGTGTTAGTCAGGACTAACTGACCAAGGTGAGGCAAGACAGTTCCCAGGGATGTCCCAACCCATGGCCCCAGGTGGCAGCAGATTGGTTGGAAATGGACAATATCCAGATACTTAGTTTTTATTTCCCTAATCTCTGCCTGAGGGAAAGCCACACTTTCCCCCGTGGGACATTTTCCAACAAGACTCCATCCCTGCCTGCTGGCCCCATTTGCCACACCTGCCCTCATATCTGCCACCAAGGAGGTGCTGCAGTCACCAGGGCAGTCCTGCAAGGCCCATGGAAGGACTTGTTATGCAAGAGCTACAGAACAATCCAAATACTCATTTCATCTGCCAAATCTCCCTCGTGCTGAAAAGGTGTTAGCTGGAGAGATACAAGGTGTTCTTTCTCTCTCTATATATATAAGCAAATATCAAGTTATTATTCACATGAATATGAATATGAAAAAGATCCACAGTGTGTGCATGGTGTTGTTTCAAATGAAGCTCCTAATAGGAATTATTTTAGGGTTGCATTTGTGTTAAACTTCTGAAGTCTCTCAGAAATTCTTTCACAGTTGAATGCCAGGCTGACAGAAGAGAGAGCTTTCTTTATGCCTACCATAATTTGCTATGTTTTTTCTGCTTTATCTTATTATGCACCATCATAAAGCATTATCTCATTATGCATCACCAAATTTACCTGAACTTCTGTTCTCAGCTCATTACCATTATTCTTTTTCATTAATTTTATTTGCAGGTAATCCTTGCTCTAGCTCCCAAGTCAGCTAAACTAAAGGGTACTTCAGTGTACCCTTTTAGATCAAAACTGACTGTAGAAAACTATAATCAAAACTCTATTCTCAAACCCCAGTATTGCAGGAGACATCACAAAGACTAAACATAAGCCTGCTGAGATTTGGGGCTTGGACTAGACAACCTCCAGCTGCCCATCCAGCCTCAACTGTTCCAAACTTCTGTGATTCTATTTAACCCAGACCATTCTGTGCCAGGGCTGGTAATCTGCTACACATTACAATTATTATTAACACTTTATTGCATTTTTCCTCAAGGTCTGGTCTGGATTATATAAATCAATCTCTCATACCAGGAAGTATTAGATTATACCATAACTAACAGAGATAAAGATGGCACAGAACAGGGTAGTAAATGTTGGGCTCAGGAATGAGTGAATGAATAGGAATGGGTGAAGGAGACAGTGTCCAGCAACAAGCAGAAAGGCTGCAGAAAAGCAACCATCAAAGGAGGGACTTTGTGGCATGAGAGAGAATCCAGCAGAAAGGAGGTGGGTAAAAGCTGTCTCTGATAGAAACAGGTTGACTCAGAAAAGGGAAGAACGTAGAGGCAGCAAAGAGATTGGAAAAAAAGGCAAAGACTTTGCAACAGAAAGGAGAGTTAGCACAGAAATTATGTCTGCTCCACACTTTACAGTAGTTTACATCTTGACATCACAGCTTGTAAGCACAAAGAAAATGACCAGGTGTGGGACATGTTCCATCTTTTCAAAGGTGCACTGGAAAATCTAGAACAAGGCTGAATTTTGAAAGGGAGCTCTGAGTTTAACTTTGGGAAGGACGTTGGTGATCAGATCTCCTAGAAAGTGAACATTTCTGGTTCTGAGTCAGAAAGCAGTGAGGGAAGGAGGTGAATCTGAGCACCAAGCTTCAGCCTGACCTCACAGCAGGTCTGAAGGGAACATCCCATCAGGAACTCCTTCACTGCCCTTGGAGCAAGGATCTGTTCTGTCCCCTGAGTGCCAACCACAGCACAGCCATCTCAGAACAGAATCTCCCAGGAATGAGGCTGGAGGGGACCCTGGAGGGCCCCATACAATCCATTCCCCATGCCAGCACAGGGGAAACTACAAAATCCTTCACAGAACTTTTAAGTGGCCTTACATACCTCCAGTGGGAGAATTTCTCACCTGCCTCAAGCAGTTTTTTCTGAGCCTTCATCAGCCCTTCCTCATCTCTAGTGGGCATATTTTGGTGAACTTTAGGCCTTTTTGGTGTAATCCTGTCCCATGTGGACAAGCAGATCAGGTTATTGTCTTAATTTTCTGACACACCATGTTTACATACTGCTGTCATGCTTCCCAATCAGTCTTCTCCTCATTAGAGTAAACAATTCCAACTGCCCAAATCTCTCTTCAGAATCAAATCTTCTCTATATACTGGTCACTCCTGGGAGGTTACTTTGACACTCTTAATTTTCCTTGAAACGTACTGGCTAAAGCTGGACACGTCTCCACCAGAAGTCTTGCTTTTGCCTCTGTGGATGTGAGTACAATATTCATTGGAGGCACAGTTTTTACTTTTTTGCTGCAGAGTGAGTTTTCTGAAAATCATGAGATTTGTTAGCAGTCTTCAACCGTTATTCCTGAATCAGGCTGGTGAACAAATTGGCAGATTTTAATGGGGGTAACAGAAAGGTGCTTCAAGAAGGCACTTCCAGCCTGAACGAGCTGTTTTATCGCAGCATTCTTACAGTTCTTGTTGATACAAAAGGAGAGCAGGATGACAGATGGTGACATGGAGCAGGGATGTGCTATTGCAAAGACTGCCAGACACTTCAGCTGAATTTAAGAATATTGTATTTGGGGTGAAAGAAGCATTATTAGCAAGTACTGTAAAGAAATTCAGGATGTCCTGCCCACTAAGGAAATCACAAGTTACGGAAAGGTGGACATCTTTTTAAACATAGAGTAGTTTTTTTAACTTCAGACATACAGATGACAGTTCATCAAAATCCTTCCCTTGGATCACTCTAGCAGTTGCTGTAAACAGTAAAACATGTACAGCATTTGAAGTAATTTAGCTAATGCTTGAGCACACACCTTTTCTTTTTCCCATGTCATTTCTGCTCACACTAATTCTTTTTCCTGCCCTGCCAAAAGAAATAGTGGACAATTATTTTTCCTCCCAGTTTTGGTGAGAAAACTTTGCTCTCAAAGACAGGCTGAAGGCTTTCTGCTGGAGGTTGAAAGAAAGCAGGGGGTTGGCAGTTCAAGGGCAGTGAGGGACATTGGGGCTGATTATATATTAAGGCTAAGGTAAAAGCCTCAGGAGAGGAGTTACTGAGTCTGAGCCCTGTCTTTCTGTGTCTCTGCCTTCTCCCTTTTTTGTCCTGCCTCATGTCTGCTTTCCTCTTTCCCTGCAGAGGATTAAGAGGTAGAGAAGATCTGACAGGATGAATTTCTTTCAGCACTTCAGTTCAGTAACTATATGTATAGGATTTAAGACTACAGTTACAAGTAGTTTTAGGTTTTTAAACATCTGATTTTATGATGTACAAGCAGAATAAAATAGGCTGTGTGCTTACTATTATTTTCAGAGAGAACACACAGAACCTCACGCATTGTGTACTTGGAAAGACAGAGCTGAGCATTAACTCAGACAGCAGCACACTCTCCTCCAGTCTAATAATCTAGTAAATAATCTATTTTATGCTGTTACGGTGTTATAATTACATCCTCATTCATTTACTCAAAAGAAAACCAGAGGAATTTAGGTAGTCCAAGACAAAAGTGTTATGAATCTTGTCCAGTTTCAAATTCAATTACAGTAATATAGTTACCTAACGTGTTACTTCAGAAGTTGAGCAGTTAAAAATAAAGCAATGAAACAAGCTGTTACAGAATTTTTTTTTACATTTGCCAGCATACGTGTGGTGTCTTTGTGAGGCTGGACAGGATGCCGTAGTGGAGCGAGGGCTGCAGGGCAGTTTATAATAATTAAATAGATAATAATTTTACCTAAAAAGCCCCAAACTAGAGTTCATTTCACCACAACCCTTCTTCAAGGCTGAGGTGTGACGGTGGCTGGTGAGGCAGGATGGCCTTGGTGCCACAGGAGCCTCCTTGGTGCCACAGGGGCGGCCACTCACCTCAGCCAAGCGTCAGTGTCACTTGGGCTGCTCTGCCGTGTGGGGCGACCGAACAGGGATGGCTTTAGGGCCAAACAGTGAGTGTTTGGGATGGCCTTAGGGTTGAACAGGGAGCGTTTGGGATGACCTGAGGGCCGAACAGCGAGTGTTTGGGATGACCTGAGGGCCGAACAGCGAGCGTTTGGGACAGCCTTAGGGCCGAACAGCGAGTGTTTGGGATGACCTGAGGGCCGAACAGCGAGCGTTTGGGACAGCCTTAGGGCCGAACAGGGAGTGTTTGGGATGACCTGAGGGCCGAACAGCGAGCGTTTGGGACCCCCTTAGGGCCGGCTTTAGAGCCTGTGTTTGTGTGCGGGGCTGCGCATGCGCCGCGGGGGCGGCCACGGTCCTCTCAAGATGGCGGCTCGGGGGAGAGGCGGAGTTAGACACACTCAAGATGGCGGCGGCGCACGGATGCGCTGGCGGGAAGGACACAAAATGGCCGGCCCGAGGCCCCCTCTCCGCAGAAAGGTGTCCGCCCGCCTGCCTGAGCCACCCCTGTCTCCGCCCCCGCGGGGCAGCGCCATCCCACCACTTTTGCCCCGGTGCGGGACAAGGTGGAGGGTGAGCGGCGCTGGGGCTGGCCGGGAGGAGAGCGGGCGGCTCAGGCAGCGCCGTGGCAGCCGCGGTCGCGGCGCGCCGCTGAGGCGTGAGGGCCCCTGACGCGGCGCGGGGCGGTGGCGGGTCCGGCCCGGCCGTGAGGGATCCGAGGGCGCACTGAGGGCTCTCCGAGCGCTGTGCGGGCTGTGGGAGCTCTGAGGGCTCTCAGGGGGCTCCTCCCACGCCGCCCCCCCGGCCCGCCGACATGGCATCGGGGCTGCGCGCCGCCGGGTTCCCCCCCTGGAAGCGGCACATCGCGGCGGAGCTGCGGCGGCGGGACCGGCTGCAGCGCCAGGCCTTCGAGGAGATCATCGTCCAGTGTAAGCGCTGCTCCTGCACCCGTCTGTGCCGTCAGTGCCTGCGGGGACGGGGCAGAGCATGGACCAGGCTCTGCTCGGGGGGCCCAGCAATGGCACAAGATGAACGGGCGGGAACTGATGCTCAGGAAGCTCCACCTGGACATGAGGAAGAACATCCTTGCTGTGCAGTGGCCGAGCTCTGAACAGGCTGCACAGGGAGGGTGTGGAGTCTCCTCAGTGGGGATATTCCAGAACGCTCTGGATACAATCCTGTGCCACGTGCTCTGGGATGGCCCTGCCGGAGCAGGGAGGGGGGACCAGGTGACCGCCGTGGGCCCTTCCAGCCCGAGCCATTCTGGGATTCTGGGATTGCCCCTCCTCGAAAGCGGGAGAACCGGGAGGGCTCAGGGCCCGGGGCCTCGCTGTGTCGCTGGGACGTGTTTGTGGCAGCTGGGAAAAGTCGGGGTTCTGTTTTATCGGGGAAAATGAGTAGTTGTTTCTCTGAGTTCCCTCAGAGGACGAGGCGCTTTGTGGTGCGGACAGTGATTGAATGTGTGAATTGTCTGCCCGATTCCTGCCCAGATGCTTGTGGAATTGGGAACAATAGTGCTATTGACCGTGCTCACGCTCCTTTGTACAACCGGGAGCTGGTCTGGGGCCGGCACTGTCTGTGCGGGGCTCCCCTGCCCGGCCCTGTCCGGAGCGGTCACCCGGCATGGGCACACGGGGCTGGGGCTGGAGCTGGGGCTGAGCGGGGCTGGGGCTGAGCGGGGCTGGGGCTGAGCGGGGCTGGAGCTGGAGCTGGGGCTGAGCGGGGCTGGGGCTGAGCGGGGCTGGGGCTGAGCGGGGCTGGAGCTGGAGCTGGGGCTGAGCGGGGCTGGAGCTGGAGCTGGGGCTGAGCGGGGCTCTGCCGGGCTGTTCTTTTTGCTGTCCTCCGAGGGGCTGTAAAGAGCCTGAACTTCGAACTCTTCCTGTTCTGTCAGATAGCAATGCACTTGAGCAGTCTCTCTCTCTCTCTGTTAAGCTTTCTTACACCAGTCCCACACAGCATCTGGACTAAGGAGGAATTCTTGGGGTTATAGGTGGGTAGTGCCTTAACCTGCTGAGATCAAAGAGGAGAGAGAGCACACTAATGTGGTGGAGGCTCCCATAGCATTTGGTTGTGTCACAGTAATTAAAGAGACTAGATCATAGCTGGTGGGAGAAGGTGGGAATCTGGATTTGCTTTCTGGTTATCTTCTTAATTGCACTTTTTGCTCTTGCAGATAACAAGCTGCTGGAGAAGTCAGACCTTCATGCAGTGCTGGCTGATAAGCTTCAAGCAGAAAAATATGACATGCAGAGCAGACATGAGATCAGGTGTGTAAAACTCCTCCTCTGTGGTGCACCCTGTAACCTAAACCTTACACAAACAGCTTCTGGGATGCTACAGTGATCTGGCACACAACAAACTGGGAAATCTGTTGAACTAAAAATAAGTTACAACGGTGTCTAAGCATGTGATGAAGTTACAGTACATTTACAAAAAAGTCTGACCAAGTTTGGGACAGAAATTGATTTGTCACAAACTCACAGTGTGCAGATGGACCAGAAAGAGCCGCTGCTTCTGATCTGTTTGCCTTGTAATGCTTATAATATTTGCCTGCTCTTAGTTCCTAAGGATTATGAAATTGTTGGATTGCAGTGCAGGGAGAAACTGATGTCTTGATTTCTTTCAATCCCTGTTATTACATAGAAGGGGAGAATAGAAAAAAAACCATGATTGTGAAGTGTCAGTCCCAAATAAGCACCAGATGCTAAAAGGAAGGTTTCTTCTGCCTGCTGTTTAGCAGGAGTCCTCTCTAACCTGGGAATAGCACTCTGGTGCTGCAGGCAGAGGTCATGCTGCTCATTCTGCTGGTGTTTGACTCCACAGAAAAGCAGTGTCCTTTGGACAGCCTCTACATCCCATAGGGAAAGTCTCTTGGGTTCTGCCTTTGGTGTACCTGAAGAAAAGGCAGGGCTAAGGAGCCCAGAATTCCTACTTCAATGGGAATTGCTTCCTCTGTTGAAGTTCTTTTTGCCCTTGTCCTGGAACCAGCACAGCTCTGTAATGCAGAACTGTGCAGGTGTGTCTGACTGGAGTACAAACCAAATCAATATAGCAGAGAAGGAGGATTTGCAGGCAAAATGTCAGTGTTTGGCCAGCAGGCTGGAGTGAACTGTGTGAGAGTTCCCAAAAGCTTCCTGATGGCTGCAGTTGTCTTGAACCATCTCCAGTTTATGGGAATCGGACCCTGGTTGAGCACCTGCTCCAAGAGACGGGGCTGGAGTTGATGAGGATGAGAAGACAAGCACAGAAACAGCACCTTGAAGTAAATACTAAGCTAAACTCCTATACTGTGCTCAATATATGACAGTTTTTTGAAACAGAATTACTCTTCTAATCCTAGATAGCTGAGGAAAAATGTTTTTACTTCCCTCGAGGCCAAGGGAAGAGTACCTAATTCTGGCTATAGGGGTATGCATGGCCAGAGTTATAGGATGTGTTGGATATTACCACAGGACTTGGCTTCCTGTCTGTTTGCACACAGTGTTTCAGGAATGCAATTAGTGCAGCATTAGTTCAGCGAGGTGTTGATTGGTTGGTTGGTTGTTTTTTGAGAAGAGCATTAAGTTACTGATATCACTGTGAGGCCTTTCAGCTTCTGGATGCATTATCTGTTTCCCACTGGACTGTTACAAGGTGGAATGACTGCAGGAAGGGATGCAATTGCCTTGTTCTGTTTGTCTGCTATAATGAAGTTAAAATTACGATTTTTTAAAAGTTGTAATTCAAAATATAGCTGCAGATGTGCTCAGAGTCTGTGTGTGATGTGTGTATGTGTGTATTTGCCTTTTAAAAGCCCGTTTTTCTCTGTTTCTGCCTCTGTGCTTTCAGAGACATGAGTGATAAATGTTACGGTCACGGTTGTTTTGGGGAAGTGATATGTGTGTTCTGGTGTGTAGAAATTCAAGATTATCTTACAGTAATACTGTGTTGTAAAACACAAGTAGTAACCACTCCAAAACTTACCTGCAATCAGGGCATAGACAGCACAATGGACAAGTGACTTGTCACACCTGGGACTGTAAACCCAAGAGCCTGGGAATTACACCCCTGATGCCCTGGATTTTGGTTCTGTGCCCTCTCCAGATACCCAGCATCTTCAAGGTCCACCAGCAACCTCCAGAACAAATCGAGGGGGTAAAACATTTGTAATTCTTCCAGCATTTGGAGAGTGTGCTTTTAAGACTCGCTTTTCTTCGTGCAAATTTAAACGAAGGCTAGTTATCTTCCATTTGATTTTGAATTCTGTTTTACAGATGTACAAAAAGGTGAATCTAGTCCTCAGGAAATGTAACTTTTTGGTGCAGGAGTGTGTGGTGTGGGAGCCAGGTTTGGTTTGTTGTGAATGACCTGTGTCTCTGGTGCAGTGTAGAGAATCCAAGGGAGGCAATGTCCTGAGACTGTCAAAGGCACAGAAACAATTGATTCCGGTTTGTGACATTTCTCCTCTCTCCAGCTGCAGCCCAGGACACGATGGCACGTGGAATGATGCTCAGCTGCAGGAACTGGCACAGCTGAAGATAAAGCACCAAGAGGAGCTCACTGAGCTGCACAAGAAACGTGGCGAGGTCAGAGAGTCCTCTCGTGCTCTGAGTGGTCCCTACATGGCCCTCAGGGGGTGTGACCGTAATTTTACCAAGCTTATTAATCATCATTTTTTCCTCCTTTTGTGTAGGGCCTTTTTAAGCTTCCCCAATTTTTGATGATTAAAATCAACCAGAGGTGGCTGGTCTGTAACACTGACACCAGGAGATGAGAGCTTACGTTGTCAGCACAGCATGATTTTTAAGTGCTTAATTTTGTGTTTCACTAATAGGTTTTTAACTGTACTAGAGGAGGAAGGAACTGATGTGGGTCACAGAGCTGTCTATGACCACTAGTTGTACACTGAAAAGTGAGAGCATAGGTGGCATGTGTGGTTTCACTGGTCTTGCTTTGCAGCACCACTGCTGTGAGAGGGGATGGAATAAACAAGCACAAACAAAGGTTGGAAGAGCCACGGTGTTGGACTGGAAAGGGAGTGCTGGGTCACAGCCCAGGAGCTCTGTGGCTATGGCACTTGGGCTTGGAAGAGAGGAAAAGCCAGGGGGTTTGAGTTTGTGTTTTTGGAGGGTTTTTTAGCAGGGAGATGTGGAGGCTTCATCGGCAGAATTGGGGTTTTTAGGAGCACAGTGGTGGACTGAATGAGTCCAGAAGCTGGTACCTGAATTGTACTGCAGAATTCTATAGGGAAAAGGTGTGAATGACCTGGAAAATGCTGTCATGCTCCTCTGAACACATTTCACTGGAGGTGTGGAAAAGCTCCAGTGTCAGCAATTCTGAGCTTTCCAAAGGGGAGACAGCTTTCTACAGGAGGTGTGCACCGACTACTCAGGGCTCTG